CCCCCCTTTTCCCAGCATCCGATGATGTTGCGAGCCAGAACCAAGGGCGACAGGGACCGGTGAAAGCAAGGAAAACGTGAAAACGAAAACGGGGGATTGGTTTCGTTCGTTTCGTGATTTCACGTCGGAGAAGAGTAAAAGGCGGGGTTTGTCTTGTGAGCGAGCGAGCGATTGCAAGCACACAGCAAACACAAGAAAGAGTCGTAGGTTCTTGGTTGGGACCTGAACCTAGACCTGGACGGTAGGTGTATGTGTTTGTGTATGTATGTAGACGCACTGCACTGCCCTGCCGACTGATTCGGAGAGTTGTTGATGGATAGAGGCGAAGAAGAGAACTCCAAGAAGGGATGTATGTATATCGACAAGTGGGTCACGGGTCACCGCAGACGATCAGTGCCTTCCGAGGGGATTCTGGTGTTGGAAGAACAAAGAAGTGCAGGATGGCGAATGAATGGATGGGTGGATTAATGGCGACGACCTTGGAAGGTGACTGTTGCTCACACCTGTGAGTTAGCAATTGCATGGAGAGGTTTCAGTCTCAGAAAGGGGAGGGGGAGGATGGGGAGGATGGGGAGGTAGGGTAGGTCGATAAGGCATTCTGGGATCGATATATACGGGGGTTTTCATTGGAAAACGTACTCTCATCTTCATCTTCATCGTCATCTTCCTCCTCATTCTTGAGGCCAGAGAAACGGTTCTTGGCAGCGTTGTTCGGGTTGTTCAGGTTGGTCGGGTTGCTGTTGACGTTGTTGCCGTTTCCTGGGTTGTACCGAGGGGGAGCAATCGCGCCAAATCCCAAGTTCTGGCCGCCCCCACCTATAAGATCGAGGATTAGCATATTAGATACTGTTTGTGTATATAGGAGTGGGAATGAGACTCACGAGCATTCCCACGCAAGCCAACATCGAGGCGGGCACCACCGCCATCCTGTCGAGAGGGTCCTCCTTGCATGCCGCCCTGGGTGCGGACGCTTCGCCACGGACCTTCGATTCGGTTGCCTCCATGGCCGCCGCCGTGGTTGCCGCGGTTGCCGTGATGGGCGGGCGGGCCTCCTCCTCCTGCAATGGCAGCCTGAGTGGATGAGGGGGACTGCGCAGTTACACTGCCAAAGGTACGACGGTACCAATTTGGGGTTCCATGGTTAAGGCCCAAGGAGATCTGTGTAGCTTTGTCTGTCGGCATCTCGTGCTTGTACTTGCATCCCATCTGCGTGAATGCACAAACACCCTCATGAATCCACTTATCACAGTAAATTTTCTCACGACGAGGGATCATCAACGCCGAAGACAACTGCACGATGTTATCAATTTGCTGCTATTGAATTGTCAGGGAAAATGAAGCAAAGGCCGGGGCTGTCGCAGGTAGATAGATGCCCCTTCTTAGAAGATAAGGGTGATTTTGACTTACTTGCACCTGAGTCTCGCTGGGACGGCCGAAGCCGGGAAGAGATTGAACAACCTACAGATTCTCATCAGCATCTAGTCGCAAATCATCTGAAAAATTGAAAAATCGGACTTACATGTGTGGGGACCATGGGCTCCCCAACCCGGAGGTTTGGTGCCTGCTGTGCAGGGACTGGGACCAATATCAGGCCCTCTGCCCCTTGTCGGGGCGGAACATTTGCGAAAGCCAGCTCATCTGCTGGCACCAGTCTCGTCACAGAACCATCTTCACGGCGGTAACCGTAGCCGTATGCTACACTGAGCTGCTCGGTGGTCGGCCAGGCAGCTCCTGGCGAAACAGTGCTTAGAGGAACGCTGTCTGCAGTGATACGAGGAGGAGGAGGACCTTGGCGAGAAGGCCCTTGAAAGTGAGGTCCCTGGCGAGGTTGTCCGTTCAGTTGATGCTCCTGCGCATCTCTGTTGGGTCTCCAGTTGGCCTGGGTCATGTTGGCCATGTTGCCCCGGCTGTTGCGGCCAGCGTTGCCGTTTCGGTTATAGTTAGACATCTCTGGGTTGGCCGGAGACGAGGAGCGAGATCTAGTTCTTCTATCATCGCTTAATGTCAGTGGACCTGTCATCTCGGTATCCATAGCAGTAATATTGTCATCGAGATGATCAAGGGATTGGCCTTCGATAGAAGCTGATGGGGCCAGTGCCGCTTCTGCCTCGGCTTCAATGCTCGACATTGTGCTCTTGAACATGGAAGAAGAGGATAGGGATAGAAAAGAGAAGGCAGATACGAACAGTGTATCTATACAGCCTGTAAGACCTGTAGAAGGGAGGCAGGTACTGTTTGTAACAAAGTCTAGGTTAGCCAAGCCCGACTGGAAAACAACAGGGGAGAGAGAGACTGTAAAACATACACTTGAGAAACACGATTCGAGTTTCCTTTTGCTTATGTAGAAGCCTCTATGATTTCTCGTCCAGTGACTTCTCCGTTTGCTGGAAGCAAATAAGGTTGAGAAAGGTAACGGCTTCCTGCAGCGTTTGAAGCGGGTATCTACACGTGATACATCAGCGCAGAAAGACAAACGGCGATAGGGTAAACCGACCACGGCAAGAGAGATTTCGTGTCTAACAACACCGCAGAAGCTGAAACAGTGTTAGTAGAGTATCCGCATAGGTTTTCTTTGGATGCCAGAAGAAGGCGGCGTTGCTTGGTTGTGATGACAACCCCAGTAGTCATCGAGAGGGAAGATACATAGCTGCGCAGACCAAGTGTATTGATTCGCAGAGATTGAACGTCAAGTTGTCGCGCTCGCAAGGCAAGCTTGATTCTTGGATTCAAGTTTGAAGGGCCACCGCCCAATACACCACATCTTGTGCTTCCATCTGTGAAGAGGCTCGCACGCGATAAGAAGATGAGAGATAGCATTGAAACTAACCTTGTATGTTTATGTATTCCTTGAGAGCGGATTCGAATTCGAGCAAGCCAGCTGTGCAGGTAAGTAGGTTGCTTGTAAGAGAGTCTTGGTCGAAGGCGAATTACTAGAGTCGGTCACGGGAAATGGTAGTGTCCGATCTCGAAAGAGTAAACCTGGGTTGTAATTTAAGTCAGCGGTGATACGTCATTTGGGTAATTGCAGAAGAGAACGGGGGATTTTGAATTCAGCGCCGGAATATAGATCGCAATGCTGGCAGCTCAAAGAAAGCGGAACTGTTATAAAAGATAATGCTTACTTGTTTCACGAAACAAGGAATGATAGGCGAAGGTGTAGGCGGAAGAGGTGCCGTATCTTTGGAAAGAAGAGTTGTATTGTTGAGGTTTCCGTTCTTCGAAAAGTAGATCTAGGTTGAGATATGAGTTAGCGGTAATTCATCTTTTAAATAATTGCAAAAGATAATGAAAGAGTTCAGCTTCGGCGCACGAATTTAAATAAATTTAGATCGGGGTGCTAGCATCTTAAAGAAAACAGAACTTTCATTGGAAGAAGTACTTACTTTTACTACAAAGTGAGGATTGACGGGCGAAGGTGTGTATGAACAAGAAGTATCCCGATCTCAGAAGAGTAAATAGATCTGGTTTAAGACTTGAGTCAGCGGTACTTCTTTCTTTAGGTGACTGCAGAAGAGGACAGGGGAGTTCGACTTCCGCGCACGAATGTGGATGGATCTAGATCGGGGTTCTAGCACCCCAAAGAAACGGAGATATTGTCAGAGGAAAGAAGAGATACTTACTTCTAGTACAGACCGAGGGTTGACGGGTGAAAGTGTGTGAACAGGAAGAATTGTATAATTGAAGAAAGGCTTGGGTGTCCTTGAGGAAAGAGAAGTGTGATCGGGGAAGGGTTTTATGATTGAAGAAAGAGTTGTGTGGTTGATGAGAGACTTGTGTAGATGAAGAGGATGGTGTGGTCGAGGAAGAGGTTATATAGTTGAAGAAGTTGTGTTGAGTCGTAGATCGAAGGCGGGAGTGAAGATACAAATGCCCAAAAGGGAATGATTAGCGTAGCCTTGCCTCTTAGATACGTCGCCAAACTTGAATACGCGTGAATCCGCTATTCACTATAGTCGGGGAAATCGATTTGATTGGCTGTATTTGCAAGAAAACTCTGATCGAGCTAGGCGGCCGCCGCCGAATATGACGATTAAGTTGTATAAATTTGAATGCTGCAATAAAGGAGCGTACAAGAAGGGCAAAGTGAAGTGCACGCTGACCCCCAGCCAAATCACTTCGGACCTTTCTATGCAAGGATAGAAGGTATACTATACCAGGAGTTTTTGTTTACATTTGGGTTCCCTAGTCAGAGGTAACTTCACCCAATGTCGATGTCACTTTACATCCGGCGCTAGCTTGATGACACAGCGGAAATAGCAATATAGGCAGGCATGTAATCATAGAAACACAGACAGACAGTCATAGAAGTAGAATTTTCTTTCGTTTGCCTCAGCTGCGTGGTGGTCTTCTGTGAATCAGTAGAATGTCTTAATACAACTTGTATTTATTCTCTTGTTTCCAAATCTCTCAAGACCATACATGCACGGTAGATATCTGCGTCTTTTTGCATAGGTATAAGGAGTAATACTAATGATCCAGAAGGCTGATGAGTTCTTTGATATGTACCCCAGATATATACCCCAGTAGCATCGTCCACTACTAACAGTCATCCTTGGATTGCTGGAGTAGAGAAAGACTAAGCAGGCACCTAACCAGTCTCCAGGTAACAGCATGTGAAGCTACAAACAGAGTCTGTGTTCCAGGTTCCTGCTCAGCTGGACAGTGCCGCAGCTCGCCTTTTGGCAGAGTATAGTCGGCAGCACTTTCTACGGCGGGGAAATTTTCTCCCCAAAGGCTCTGTCATTTGAACCATGGCCTCGAGTGCAATTGATTTCTCCTCTCCACCTTGCCTGATGGGACTTGAATTGCTCGGCGGCCAAAAAATTGAATACAAAACTGCGTCTTTGGAGCGGCGATAAAAGAACGCGTGGGAAGAAGAACGCTGTTTAAGGAGTATTCTGAAGGGCCGATTTCCCCACTCAGAGTAGAGTGAGAACCTTTGCTTTAAAGCTGCTATACACGGGCTTGGTCATGCCTGAGCTCCCAGCAGCCTGTTGGTCAGTGGGCCAAGTGCAACGGGCAAGATAAGAAATGCAGAAACAACCGGAAAGAATTTGCCTGCAGCTATGCTCTTCTACGCGGGTCTTGTGCCAGTGGCGGATGGAATCAAGCAAGAGAAAACGGCACGTCTAGGAGGAAGCAGTAAGCACATGAGACAGAAGAGAGAAGGATTTTGAGATTTCAATTTCAATTTCAATTTCAATTTGAGCAATGCACGCAAATACGTAGAGAGAGAGGGATAGCATGCAGGAGAGGTACATTGAGGATGACAAGACACCGGATCTGAAGTCTGGATATGTATACCCTACCTGCCTGTCCTTCCTCACCGTTCCTGGTCTACCTTCCTATTTCGAGATGACAGAGAAGAGACAGAGGACAAGGAAACAACAGGGTTTCAAGCTTCTTATGCAGACCTCTACCTGGCTTGGTTCTGGCGTCGAAGCCGTAGCACTTTCCCATCTCTCATGGCCTCGAGAAGGGGATCAATCGATTGAATACTGCCAGGTCCATTTTTCCAAGGGGTTCTGTCATTGCCAGACATATATACGGAGCTGAAGCGTGGAGCCTTGGAGTCAGAACAGAATGCTCCGGACCGTACCGGCTTCGGCCCGTCCAATTCTGGTCCCTGGCTGCAAGCAGACCCATTCCACCTCCTCTACGTGTCCCCCCTCCCCTGTCCATACCTACTGTTATAGGGCTTGATTCCAGTTTTCGTTGCTTGAAGAGACGGGATGCAAGTGGTTCTGGGTGTCTCTTCTTGGGCGAGCTGGGGGATTCGGGATGGAGGAGGCATACTGCAGCGGTGCGAGGGCTTCGGCTGACAATTGATTGTACGGGGAAGCCGAAGGGCCGAAGGGCCGAAGGGGGTTTTGGAAAGGTACTATTTCGACCGGCGAGAGGACTGATTGGAAGGGTCCAAGGGTCGGATTGGGGATTGAGTCGGGGGTTTGGGTTGGTGGTTGGTAATTTGTGGTTGGTGGTTGGGGGCTGGATTCGCTTGACGGGAGAGAAGAGCTAAAGGATTGGTAACGAAAGTGAAAAGGGGTGTTGTATTCTCTAGAAGAGAAGAGTCATCAAGGAAGGAGATGACTCCTCTGCTACCTGGTCTGTGCTCTAATGATGTCACGTGGTATAGCCCCACAACATGTCCCCTCTATACTAGTTCTCGTCCCGAGAACTGAGCTCCTATGTCTTGTTCAACTGATACTCCTTTTATCTATTTTGTTTCAGCAACCCTTCGAGCAACTCTTGAATATCGACCTCTTAACCCTTAGTATGCTTATGCCTTTCTATACTTCCTTCCTCATCCTCTCGCTATCTCAATTTCCTAGTCCTCTGCAAATGTAGTTCTGCCTTCCCAGCTCTTTTAATATCTCCAAACTCTTTCAATAGACTCGATTTCCATCTGCTGTATCTTCTTCTTGTTCCTAGCCTCAACCGGCAAGGAGTGCTCTGCCGTGCCTGCCCTCAGGTTTTGATATACTAGTAATCGCTCTTCGTCTCCGTTGATTAAATATGCTGTTCTTAGATAAAAGGGTTTCAGTTAATCGATATGAAAGCATCTCGAGATTCCTTTGCCGTTGATTTGTTCTAAGGTATACGATCTTGAGTAGTCTCTTCCCAACCTTGATACTCTAAAAGGTCCTCTTTAAGAAGGGCGCAATTTTTGGCTTGCTATAGTGTGATCGTAAAGCATCACTAAAGCTTTAAGAGTGAGCCTCTTGAGCTTCCGTTGGTCTCTTTCCTCTCTATCTTTCCTTCTAGTCGAAGAGTCGTGAACGTTGTTTCGAAGAATTTCATGCTTTGCTATATATTCCATAACTGCGTTGCTCCAATCTTCGTTCTCCTCGGAGTCAGCTCCTTACAGTCCTTCGAGGAAGCCTTGTTGAAAGAGAGTCTCGTGAATAACTCTCGCATAATACGCTAGAAACGCTCTGTCAATCGCTGCTTTTGGTTCGAATCCTCTTTGGATCTTGAATAGCGAGTATCCTAAGTATTGTACCTCTCTCGCATTGACTTCGAACATGACTGACTGGAGTTTCTCCGGGAATGTGCTTGTTGTTTTGCTAAAGGCCTTTTATACTATGTCAATTGCTTTTTCAGCCATCCTTATTGATTTTTTTGATACGGTTGGTGAGTTCGTCTAAAGCACTCCCTTCTTTCTCATGAACTTCTTCACTATCCTTTCGAAGTGGCTACCAAGGTCTACATAAAAGCCTATAAGCAAGCCTTCTTGCAGAAACAAGGCCTCCAAAGATTTCATGACGTGATTCGAGTCTGCTGCAGCGCATAGAAAAGTCCAAAGGAACCTTAAGAAGTAATCGATGATGACCAATAAGTATTTGTATTCGTTGGGTACTCCGGGGAATGGTCTACAGAAATCCGCTCTTAACAGTTTCATCGGAGCCGACACTATTACTAAAGAGAGTGGTTGTGATCTTTGCGCTAGACCGTGTTTAGCGCACTTCATGCAGCCCATGATATATAAGTAGGTATCCTTCGCTATCGTCGGCTATTATACTTGTCTTAGCTTCTTCAAGGTGATTCTTGTCGCAAAGTGTCCTCCTTGGTCGTGTGCTTCCTTTAGTGCATTTGCTATTTGTCCTGGCATCAAGCATGTCTTCTAGGTGCCTTTCTAAAAGAACTACAGCGTTTTGCTTTCTTATTTGTATTTTGCTGATTTGGTTTTTAAAGCTCTTCTTTTGACTTTGTCTGCTTGATCTAGGAATTTGTGTTAGGTCAAGAACCTTAGAATATTAAAGTACCAAGGATATTCTTCGTATGCTTTTGTTCTGTCTTCTAATATCGAAGCTGTCTTAAAGCTTGCATAGTCATAGATAGGGATCCTTGCATGTTTCGATATCGGCTCTAATCCCGCTTTGTACTGCACTCTTCTTATCAAGCAGAGTGCAGAGAGGAAGTTGATGTCTCTCTTATTTACTCTTGCAAGTTGAGAGATAACTACAGGATCTAGCATTCTTTTTATTGTCTGGATCTTCTCTATTTCCTTTTCTTTTAGCGGGTCGGCCACTTTATCCAAGAGCTTTTCGTAGCTATTCTTCCCGTCTTTCCAGATCTATTCTCTATCTTAGGTTGTGTCTAAGATGCTGCTAAAGTCTGAGAAATCTTGGTCGTGATACTCGTCTTCGGGGAAGATGGTTCGAGACAAGGCGTCTGCAACTAAGTTTCGACTTCCTTTTATGTATTTGATCACTATGTTGAGTCCTTTAAGTTCCGTCGCCTACCTCGCGTAAATTTCTTCTTGAATAGACTTAGAAGCAAAGAAGTGGGTTAGCGGTTAATGATCCGTAAAGAGAGTGCTATCGTTATCGCATTTAAGCATATAATTGAACTTTCTAGCGAACTCTACTATTACTAATAACTCCCGCTTGTACGTTCCGTAGTGTCTTTGCGTCTTAAATAAAGTGAAGCTGTCGAACAGAAAAGGTACTTCAGTTCCATCATCTTAGATTTGTGTGATGCAACATCCTCTTGCGTAAGCGCTAGCATTTGTGTACATATAAACAGGTTTATAAAGGACATAGCCGAATCGTTCTAAGGTTTGATTGCAATGATCCTTAAGCAACGCTAAAGACAAGGCTTCTGCATCTCTTTATTTTCAAGGCACATCTTTTATAAGTCGGTATAAAGGTCTAGCTATCTCCGCAAAGTTTTTGACCCAATTCCTAGTGATTTAGATAGCTCCTAGAAACCTCCTTATCTCTTGAGCGTTTAACAGGGTCGGCCATTCCTTGATGTTTCTTGCCCTCTTTTCTTTTATTAATGCTCTTTCTCCTGACTTGTAGGTTACCCTTAACACTATGACCTTTTTTATGAACAAGGAGCACTTCTTGAAGCTGAGCTTCAACTGCGATCATAGCAAGCGTAGCAACCAATGGTCTCTTAGGAAAGTGAAGGCCTTATCAAAGTCGCGTGCTCTCGAAAAGACGTCGTTTATATAATACTTTAGCTTTAAGAAGGAGACTTCCCTTTTCTCATCAAACAATAGTGAAAACAATGAAGGCTCCGAATCATCCTATCCTTCGTTTATCGCTATTTAAGACCTAGGTATTAGATCAAAGACAATCTTTATTAGTTCGTTATATATGAACGCAAAACTAGCTCCTCTTTAGGTTATGCGTGTTAGCTGCATTTGTGGGTGTCTTGGAGCGGAGAATGCGTATATATGGCGATCTTTTAAGTGTATTAAGACGCTCTAATAGCCATTCTTTAGATCCATTTAGCAAAACACTTAGTGTTGTGGGTAGCTGAGATAGTCGTAGCACTCGCCCAATCCTACTAGAGTACAACCGAGGACTTTCTCCTTTACCTTAGAGTAATCAAAGGTCACTCTGAACTCTCTTTTTCTAGGCTTCGACTTTACCGACTTTTGTATAAGGTTAAGGTGGCTGTTCCAATCTGAAAGCTTGCCGTTCGCTGCTATCGTGCTTTCGAAGATCCCGTTCTTGACTCTTTCTTCGATTGTCTTGTATAGCCAAGTAAGTTTCATTAAAGGATAGCGCCTTGAGACGTTGTTTGCAACTAGAGCCGCTCTATCAAGTACTCGGTGCTTGTGTGTGATCAGGTCCGTATAAAAGAAGTCGTTTAACCTAGCACTGTTCAGTCTTCGGTATATGTATATTAAGATCTAGACTTCTTTCAATCTATCTAAGGGGATTCTATCTCCGAAGGTCAAGCTACAGCTGGATAACCATAAGCTTAGGACTTCGTCTGGCGGGCACTCTATAAGCAAACGAATTACTCTTCTCGGCGTTAAGAAAGGTTGAGCGGCGGTTTGCATTGAGCAGAATTTTGCTAGTATAGTTGCTGTTCCTTTAGTGACTTTGTTGGGTATCTTAGAAGAGTGTCTGTCTAGATTAATAGAAAGGTTGGTCGAATGCTTCTCGAGATAGATGGACTCTTAGATAAGCTTCCTTTTCGATTCGGGGTTCCTATGATGATTTCTTTGTGTTTAAGACTCGTTGGTTTAAGAATCTTCTGCTAAAGTTGTAGAAGGTTAGGAAGGAGAGATAGTTTGGACCTTGAGTAGTGGTCTTGTCGGGTAGTTATAAAGGGGTGAAGAGGAATTCGTGTTAAGAAAGGGAAGGAGCACTTGTAAGTGCTTCGAAGGTGAAGGAGTTGAAAGGTGAAGCTTAGTCCCTTAGATGAGTTTATCGCTAGTCCTAAGGCGTTCTTGCCAATCTAGTTTCTTGAGAGCTTAGATTCATTAGTATTATTAGATTCGGACTCATGCTTAGAATCATTCTTAGTAATAGAGACATCTGATTCTAAGGGTTCGAATTTTACCGTGAGGTTGTCGAGAGATTTCTTTGACTCTTCTTTCGGGTGTAGTACGAGGTTGAGAGTCTTGGAAGGTGAGAAGAAGGGTCCTTGGACAGTGATCTCTTTCTTATCTGGAATGTTTCCTCTTATGGTTATCTTGCTTTCTTTAATATTGAGCTTTGCGTCCACTAAAAACATTTAAGGCAGACCTAATAAGAGACTCAGTTCGGTATCTAGAAGACCATTTGATTCCCGAATGAATGCGTGAATTGTTTTCTAAATCCTTAAGACCTTAATCTCAACCGTGACGAACTCGTCCAAGTAGTGTATCTCCTTATCTGCTATTCCGTAACTGACTCTGGCGTAGCCCTCCGATGTAAGCTTGCGCACCTTCAGGTCTAGCTTTTTGGCCAAGCTTAAGGACATTAATACTATGTTTAACCCTTGATCAACAGCGCTCATCCCGATAAGAAGCTCTATTTCAACTGTTTTCTTTCCATCTTTAATTCTGATTTGTGATAAGACTTTCCATGCCTTGTCGTCTAGATAGATGTGTAAAGCAACTTGTGCGAGCAGTGCGCTTATTAAAGCTTGATTGCTTGCTATCTAAGCAAGTCCCGACTTCTTTTTCAGATTCTTCTTCGTAGACAGCTTCTTGAATTGCTTAGACACCTCTAGTGAGAGCTGGAATAGCTCTAGTAGATTAATGGTTGTTTTAAACTTCGACGCCAAGTCCATATAGTTGATCGGTCTTTGGCCTTCACGCCCGACGATCTCTTTTAGCTGTCTCAGCTTCTTGCCTTCCTTTTCCTCTGTCTTCTTCTTTCTTAGTTTCTTCGTAAGGGTCTTCTTGGTGAGTTGCTTTACAGCCTCTACTACCTCTGCATCATCTAAGGACCTATGGATTCTCACTCTCTTCTTTGCTTTGCTGTCGGCCATGCGAACGTTTACATCTGGGATGTCCTTAATGTTTGACAAAGCTACTTTATACTTCAGGCCTCCTAAGCTGCTCAAGTTTGCTTTGTTGCTTGCCGATGTAGCATCGGAGACATCTTCAACTCTTGCTTTCTTATACTTTTCTGAGAATTGGCTCAATGACATGACTTCCATCCTTAATGTCGAGGACGTTAGTGTGGGGAGGGCACTGGTAGAAGCAGACGCCGGGCTCTCCTCTCTCTCTGAAATGATCTCCAAGTAGTAGGAATTCATAAGCTTGTCCGGGTATATTATGCTTTTAAGATAGGCTCTCTCTTAATCTAAGAGTAAAGGGTTCGGGCATTTAAGCTTGATGTGTCTAGTATGACCGCAACTCACGCAAAGAGGTCTATCTTTATCTTTAACGTAAGTTCTAGACTTGTTTACAAACGGGTTGCTTAATTCCGAGGCCGGTCTGAGAGGTATAAGAGCCGGTGCTAGTGCCGGGCGATAGCCTTGTCCTTGGTTCTGTTGATTCGTATTGTTTTAAGAATGTGTTAGCTAGTTGTAACTGCTGCTCCTTGCATTAGGAGTCGTTCCGTAGCCCGGTCTTTAGTTATTCCTTTAGTATCTTGTTGTTCTTTGTCTGAAGGCCTCGCTTTAGGGTTGCGGTTGCTAAGATTTCTTTTATGATCTGTCCGGTTGTCGCTAAGTAGCTTTAATAAGTTGAGCGGGCTTTGCTGATGTGGAAGCTGTTTGAAAAGATACATATAGGTTGTCTTGAAATGCTGCCAAGGCTGCTTGCGCTAAGATGCTAGTATAATGCTTTACAAACTTCTATAGTCGGTCGTAGTATTTCCCCTTCTCGATCTCCGCCTCGATCTCTTCCTTCCTCTTCAAGGCGTTCTAAGACAGCACGAGGGTTTCGTACGCGCGCCACAGGCAGGGGTGGAGCAAAGCGTTGTTGGTGAGCGCTAGTGATCTGATCTGATCGTCTGCTACTCCTTTAACGAATGCTAAGGAAATCGACTTCAATATATACCTATCAGAGTCCGATTGTGTCGAGTTCGCCCTCGACACCTCGCTCTTGTCTAGGTCCTTCCCTCCGGTTTTCTTAAAGAGAGCAAGTGTTCTGGAATAGTACGAGGCTAAGCTTTCCCTTTCACCTTGTCTCAAGTTTAAGACTTCGGTGATCACGTCTTCCTCTTTAATTTGCTCTTCGTCCTTTAAGAATTGTACCTTTAGCTACTTTACAACTTCTGTTTTTTCCTTATTTATGGCTATCAATCTGTTTGTCATGATAGCCTTCATTCTGGAGTTGGATCTGAACTTCTTACTAGCCTCCTCAGTAAGCAGGATAAAGATGGCTCTCAGGTACGTTGAAAGTGAAAGGTTTTCTTGGCCTGCTTGCTCGAAGTCATAGTCCAGCCTATCTAGCCACAGCTCCGCTAGCATTTCCTCGTCGTAATCCTTACATCTCTCAAACTTTAGCATTTTAGATTGAGACATCGTAAGTGAGATCTTATTTGAAGAGAGTCTGCCCTGTGTTGTTGTAAGTGGACAAGCGTTCTGCAATTGATTGCTTTAGGTAAAGGTTTCAAGGAATCTTATACTAAGTAGGTCTTCAGATTAATACGTTCTCAGCTCTGCTCTTGGGCTGAATTTGATAACTGAAGTGTCTTCTTAAGGATGGCGTAGGTCGTTAAGAGAGTTGCTTTCCGAATCCGATCTTAAGGCAGCTGATACTAAGGGTGAGGTGAAACCTCTTCTCAGCCAAGGGTATGTTGTTAAAGGTGAGCTTAAGACTCTGCTTCTATAGAAGAAGGAAAGTAGGGTTAGCGGAAGCGTAAGATCTGTCAACAATCTTTGTCTAAGAGTAAAGGGCCGTTAGGCTTCTTCCTTAGACAGTTGGTTTTCTTCCTTTGCAGAAACCGGATCTTTTATTTCTTCTTCAAGAGTGCATGTTGTCTTCTTCCTCTAAGGTTCTGAGGCAGGATGTGCAGACTGCTGCTTGCCCCCCTTCATGGAAGGTCTTCTTGGATGAGGAGGTCCGAGCGTTTGAATTAGAGGAAGGAGCTAATAGGGGGGGTTTTCTGTTCCAAATAGATCTTTAAGAGTCTGTCTTCATAGCAAGGCTTTTCCCATGATCTTTGGTTGATATCGATTGGAGTCCGCGTAATGGGGCCAAGTCTTGGTTTGTGTGTTCTTAGATGTTGGAGGGCTGATCCGTGTCTTCCTGGGTTTTATTCGGGTGTCGTCGGCTTGTAGTGGGTACTTCTTGGGGGGGGGGTGGGCTTCGGCCGGGCAGCTTCTTTCGTGAGTTGGATGTGAGGACTTCTTCTTGCGTTTATTTTCGTAGGTAGGTGAGACGTTGCTTTGGTCTTGTCGATGAGGGTCTTTCGTATTCGTCTCGGAGGATCTTTTCTCTGATGTCTTGGATCTTGTTTTTGATGATCTTGGTAGTTGAGTTCACGGGTGGGTCTTCTTCTCGATCTTGGCTGGTTGTTTTCTTCAAGGTACTTCCAACTTGCAACTTGACTGCGAATCAGAAAGAGATTCCAGGTTTCGGTCCCGGCGTTGGTCGCCAGCTAAAGGATTGGTAACGAAAGTGAAAAGGGGTGTTGTATTCTCTAGAAGAGAAGAGTCATCAGGGAAGGAGATGACTCCTCTGCTACCTGGTCTGTGCTCTAATGATGTCACGTGGTATAGCCCCACAACAAGAAGGTCTCGGATCGGATAATTGTGGTTCCAGTCAAAACAAAGCAGCCGAGACATGCAGCCCTAGAGTACATCTAGTTGAAGATGGACACGAGGATCTAGATCAACTGCAGAGTCATGAATTCGTGGCCTTGTAGCTTACGGTGTAGGTTATGGTCCTCAGTGCACCGCAGCGCCCGTCGTGTTCTCTCAGGACGTAGTATATCTTGATTAGATATCTTGATCATCTTGGCTTGGGACTCTTATCAAAGCGGATGCTTAATTAATGGCCTGGGCAAGAGTCAAAGAAAAACTCTGCATCGACCTCATCTCACATCACATCGCACATCCAACCCTCGAGGATTAACATGATTTGAGATAAGTCTAAAGTATAATCTACTACAGTACTGTATACTACGTACTACCGGTACCTACACCTTTACACTTCATTGAGTGCATTTGAGCATTTTTCCATATTAACTACTACCCTCTTTGGATGTGCATCCTTTAAAGAGTGGGCTTCGCGTCTTGGCCAGACTAGACGTCTGTAGTCTGTGGTGGAATACAGTTCTATATAATAGTAGGTACCGGTAGGTATGTATCTTGGGACCCATATCCAGATCCATATCCAGATCCAGATCCAGATCCAGATCCACGTCCAGATCCACATCAACTCCTTGAATTGATCGGTCACGGAGGGTCGTTGTATATCAAGATCAAGAAAGCGTCCGAGGCTCAGACATCTTGAGCTGACTGACTGCTAGCCGATATGAACAACAACGCTACTGTGCAGCATGGCGGCCATATTCAAGTCGCCAGCGGTAAGTCTCTCTCTCTCTCTCCCTCCATCATGAATGTTCATTCTATTCGTTCCTTTCCCTCTTCCCATCCATCTATTCATGACATACAACCCGATCACCGACTGATTCAGAGGCAAAGACGACAGCTACTTCGTGAAGCACTGGGGATACCACGATCGCACGCTGCCATGCACCAATGATCCCGGGTCGTGTGCCTATCTCGACGCCATCTACTGGATGCACGATGTGTCGATGCTGTACACGTTCATCATGTGGGCAGTCATTGGCGGCATCCTCGCCATCGTGGTCTTGTATCGCGTGTTGGCACCGCGGCCCGGGCCGGTGCCGACCAAGAGCGCGAGAGAAGCCGAGGGACAGCGACGAGGTCAGTCAAGCGCATGGTACCGGGCAAGCCGGGCGATCCAGTCTTCGGTCCGGAGGTGGCTACTGCCCGAGCGCTTCGTGGGCCTGTTTGGACACACCACCAGCCTGCAGGTCCTCATCTTGATGATCATCCTGGCCTACCTGCTCATCTTCTCGCTCGTCGGCATCGTCTACAAGACCTGGATCACGCCGGTCAAGGGCACGACGAATCTCTTCAACCAGCGCTCGGGCATCGGCGGCTTCGCCGATCGGGTGGGAGCCCTCGCGTACGCTCTGACGCCTTTCACCGTCGCGCTGGGCAGCCGGGAGTCGATGCTCACCATTCTCACGGGCTTGCCCTACCAGTCCTTCAACTTCCTGCACCGCTGGACAGGCCGGATCATCCTCGTGCAGTCGGCCCTGCACACCTTCGGATGGACGCTCATCGAGGCCAACTTCTACAAACCCCAGCCCGAGGTCTACCAGGAGTTCATCAAGCAGACCTACATCATCTGGGGCTGCGTTGCCCTCGTCTTCATCTGCTTCCTGAGCGTGTTCAGCTTGCCCGTCGTGGCCCGATATACCGGCCACGAGTTCTTCCGCAAGGCGCACTATGTCGCGGCCGGTCTCTACTTCGGTGCGTGTTGGGCCCACTGGAGTCGGCTGGCGTGCTGGATGATCGCGTCGCTGGGCATCTGGGGCCTCGATCGAGGGCTCCGCTTCCTTCGCACCGCGCTCATTCACACGGGGCATCTCCATCCGTCCAAAGGCTTCGGCTTCCACTCCGCACAGTCCAGCCTCCAGTACTTCGACGACGAGGACGGCGGCGTGGTCAGGCTGGAGTTCCAGCACAACCATGACACCTGGGCTGTCGGCCAGCACTTCTTCCTCACCTTCCCAGCATTGAGCATCTGGCAATCGCATCCGTTGACCGTGGCCTCAGTGCCCGCCGCGCATCCAGCAATACCGCACCAGTAAGGCAACAGACACCCCACTCCCCTCCTGGAAAGCAATCGACTGACCTTCCACACCCAGCACGTATATTGTCCGCGCTCGCCGTGGTGAGACTGGCCGTCTCAAGACTCTTGCCCTCTCCCACGCGGCTTCTCCCAACCCAGAAACCACCCCCATAGTGCTCAGCGGCCCCTACGGAGCGCCCCTTCTTCCCTCCCCCTCCTCCCCCGCCGAACCTACCAACATCCTCGCCATCGCCGGCGGTACCGGCATCTCTCTCACCCTCCCCCTCGCGCTCGCCGCCACCTCGCTTCCGAGCACCGCCGCAATAGACTTCGTCTGGGTCATCCGCCGCGCCTCCAGCACCCAGTGGATCGCATCCGAGCTCGAGACCCTCAAGCGACGCGCCGCACAGGGCAAGGTCGACCTGAAGATCCACCTCTACATCACCCGCGAATCGCCCTCCCAGACCGCAACCGAGACCGCAACCGAGTTTCCCGCCGCCACTCCTGAGCACGAGGGAAAAGACATCAAGAAAGCCTGCGAGTCCAGCTCGTCTCTCTCCTCGCTGTCATCGTCCGCCAACTTCACCACGACGTACCTGCCCTCCCATCGGCCATCCCTGCACGCCATCGTCACCTCGTTCCTGGAAACCCGCGCCAATGCCGAGTACAGAACACGTGTCATTGCGAGCGGCCCGGCGTGTATGGGACACGATCTGAGGAGTGCCGTTGCGGCGTCTAATGACGGGGCGAAGGTCTGGAAGAATGACCGGAGGTGGGACGTTGAGCTAGAGTGGGATGACAGGATGGGCTAGAGAGATAGGGAGACGAAGTACATAGATAAGACCCTCTTGGAAATAATTCGAGAAACGGGTAAGGCAGGCTATATCATATTTTGCGAGGCGTTTGTACTCATGCCGGCCGCTAGACGTAAATACAATCAATACAATAACGATAATAAAAACCAATAATTTACCACAACACCGACTCATTGGCATGGCATCTACGGTACTGTCAACCGGACAAGCTAGCAAGCAAGCAATTACCTAGTCAATCATAGAATCTCAAGGCCTCGGATTTCCATCTTCTCAATCAAGCACTCACTCACTCCCTCACTCACTTACCCTCCCGAGCAGGGAGGCCAACACGCAAGAGGTTGGCGAGCAGACGGGATATGGATGGCTCCTCTCTCTCTTTCACAGGTCGGAGTTGGTTTCTTCTTCTTCTTCTTCTTAAAAAAAAGAGATGTGCTTATCGCCTTCATTTCACCCTCCACTATCCCTTCCTCCACCCTCCATCCATCCCTCGCCTAGATACGCTCACCTCACACCTCACAGCTTTCACCGCACCTATAATCGCACCGAGGTATAACCGCTGAGAGTTTTAGCATTTGCTCTAGTACTACCGCCAAAAAGCCTTATTCTTTCTTACTTTATACGTAGGTAATGATGACAAGGCTTGATCGACAAATCAGACTTCTACAATTTCTTATCCACACAGGCAGGCCCTTGTACTTTTCCTCAAAAGCCTAAGCAAATCAATAGTATCAATCCCAAAAGAGCCTGGAATTCAAGAACGGGTAGGATTAAGGTGCATTTGATTTTTTCATTCTATCGCATTCTGTATATTGAAACTTTTCTCCCGACTGTCTTTCGAGGTCCTCTCAAGGCAGAATTTCAATCCGTCAACGCCAGAGACGTCTATCAGCCAACCAGTCCAGTGAACGCCATTAAGTCCCATTCAGCGTCGATCAGAGCCCTAAACCTGTGCCCATTCCCTCGTGTAGACTAGTCGGTATGGAAGGAAAGAAAGTGGTCTGTGCATGGAAAAAAACTGCAGCTATTTAACGAGAGCCCGAGCATCCCGCATCCGCCTGCGGCCAGCAAGCTCCCCAAGCAGAGCGTCCTTAGCTGCCTTGACTAGCGGTGCAGGCTCTTGGCTCTCTCTGTCGAGAGTGTCGATTAAAATCCGAATCTGCGCTTCCGTGCACAGGAACGGGCACTTCTTTGAGAAACTGAAATGGGCGATGCCACAGTAGCCGCACTCTGCCGTGGTCCGGACCCGGACTGCACACTGTCCTTCCGCATGCTGGTTCCCACACGTCGGGCATCGACTAAAGGCTGATCCCGCGGACGGATGTGCGTTACCATACCCGTTGGGGGGCTGGATTACTTGATGCTGGAATTGACCTTGAGTTTGATTCTGATTTTGACGGGCGGGGTTAAAGGAACGGGTGAATCCGCCTTTATCAGGGTGGGGTCCTGGTACGACGCCGTAGGCTGAGGCCGGGAGGTGGTTGGAGGCTTGAGGACCGGAGCCGGGAGCGGAGGGGTTGTGACCGGCCTTCCACTGGGGGACTTGGGATTGTGCTTGGCTACTGGGCTTTTGCGCGAAACTCGGCTGTTGGTGGGAGGGTGGGAAAGGAGCTGGGTTTTGCTGGCTTGTGCCGTCTTGGAGGGCCTGGCCTTGGCTTGGGACTGTGGCTGAGATGGGGGAGTGCGGGATAGAAGCTGAGCTTTGCTGGCTTGTACGGTCTTGGAGGGCCCGGTCTTGGCTTGGGATTGTGCTTGTGATGGGGGGTGGCGGGAAGGGTTCTGTGACTGCGAAATCTTGTTAGCTTGAGTAGCTTCGACGTTCTGGGATTTGATCGCAGAATTTGACGAATTTGAGCCAGCTTGCGACGATTGGACAGTCCGGTGAACATGATCCTTTGAATCTGAAGGGCTAGAGAAAGCGGGTGGGTTCTCCGCAGTCTCTTCTCTCTTCTGCAACTGAACTGGAGAGGGGCGAGACTGTGCTTTCTGGGCAGCAGCCACACTGTTGGTAGGATTTTTGAGAGGCTGCCTTGCACTTGAAGCGGGCTGAGCTTTCTTTGAGACTCCCTGATTTGTAGCGCTCACGGTGTTCTGTTTCGTAGCACTACTAGAAGCCAGTTTTGGGGCTGGTAGGTTCTGCTTAGAAACCTGTGTCTTGAGTAGCAGAGGGTGAAAGAGCGTAAGCGTTCCAGTCCTAGCTCCGGAGTAGATGACTGGCTTGGAAACAGCAACAGCGCCTGTTGGCAAGGGTTTGAGCTTTTTACCTTTTGCCTTGTTTTGGAGCTCGCTCAGAGCAACCAGACCAGCGTCGGAATCTTCATCGATTTCGGTCTCGGGAGCGGATTGGTAGTCAATGTCGCTGGCAGATCCATTGGGCTTTTTCTTTCTCGATTTCACTGGGGAGGGGTCATCAATGTCCATCTTGTTATTGTTCTCATTTTCACGGTATGTGACGGTCTATCAATTCTTAATTAGCAACAGAAAATGAGTAGAGGAGTGTATTACTTACCTGGCGTGCCCGCTTTCCTCGTCCAAATGCCTGTGCGTCTCTGGCCGCTTCGGCGGCTGCGTCGGCCTCTCGCTGTTTGAGAATTTTCTCCCATAGTGAGGTATCTGGAGGGACATCATCGGAATTGTCATCGCCGACATCATCAGAAAGAGTTCCCTTGTCATTAGCCCACACACGGGCAAATGAGAATTGGGACTCGGCACTCTTTTCATCGTCTAGGTCGGTGTTCTCGACCTGTGTTCGGTCCAAGAGCTTGTCAACGGAAGCGGAGTCATATCGAATGTCGTTACGATCGTCGTCGGCGAATAGTGCTTGGGCACCATGTCTGAGAATAGATTCCAAATCGACACCAGCGTCGTCCTCGGCGCCCATGCTCTCAATGAGGGCTTGGTCCAGGGCCATCTTCTTGCGACCAATCTGAACAATCTTTTCTTCGGCACTGTCTTTGGTCATCAATTGAAAGACCAGCACTTTCTTCTTTTGACCAATGCGATGAGCACGAGAGAGGGCCTGGATGTCTTGGTGCGGCTGTAAACAAGTTAGCTAGGCGTTTGGGAGGGTAGTCGGACGATTTACATTGAAGTCAGGATCCTAGCCAGAAGTTAGCATTGGTAAAATGATGCGTAAATTTATGCATAACATACCATGATGATAACTGTATCGGCGGTAGCTAGATTGATACCTACACCTCCGGCACGGGTAGAGAGCAGAAATGCGAATAGCTCCGAGTCTGGCGCATTGAAGGCGTCGATACGTCGTTGCTTCTCCAGAGATCCAATGGTTCCATCTAGTCGCTGGAAAGGAAGCCCGAGGCCATTCAAGAAGTCTTCAACCAAGTTGAGCTGCATCAAGAACTGACTGAACAAAAGTACGCGGTGACCACGATCTCGCAATTTTGGTAACATGATCTTCAACAGCTGGAACTTAGAAGATGCTTCGACAAGCTTGGAGTGAACATCGTCCGCAGTGTCCGTCTTGGAGACTTCTTCGATGGCCGAGCTGTATAGGAATGGATGGCAGAGGCACTTCCGGAGCTGCATCAAGATATTGTTTAGGTTACCTCTCTCCTTCGGCTTGAGAACTGTACTGCTCTGTCCGAGAATGGATTTGATAAGCTCCGGACTCCTAGCCAGGATTGATTTGTATAGCTTCTTCTGGACAACACTCATCGAAACTGGCAGGATGACCTGGGCCATTGGAGGCAGGAATTTCAGTACCTGAAGCTTGGTCCGTCTGTCATTTGAATTAGCGGAGGCTTTTGTGATGCAGTAGTGCAAGATCTTACCTCAAAAAGAAGGGACGGATGAGCTCATGCAGCTCGGGGAGATTCTCCTTTGTCAATTCGGCGTATTTTTCATCCATGTCAGCAGCATTGATAGAAGTGTCGAGAAACTGGAGGAGATTGAAAAGCTCGCGCTTGTTGTTTTGAAGAGGCGTACCTGCAAACGTCAGTCCCCCTCGAGAGTTAGAAACGTGATGAAAATACATACCCGTAAGAAGGACTTGAAACGGGACCTTCAGTGCCTTCAACGCAACATACAACAAGTTTGCATCGTTCTTCAATCGCTGACCTTCGTCAACAATCATACCTGCCCATCTGATGCGTCTGAAGAAGGATTTGCTGTGGTCATCAACGGGTGCTTCGTAGGAGGTAACGACCACGTGAGCTCTGAGATCAGAGCATCCATCGGGGTAGAGCTCATACTCCATAGCCATGTCTCGCGCCTTCTTAGCACCGTAGTATGCAACAACCCGCAAGCTAGGAGCCCACTTCTTGATTTCTCGTCGCCAGTTGGGGCAGGTTGAGTTGGGAGTGACTACGAGGAAGGGCCAGCACTGTGTAATTTAGCAGGGACTCTGGAGGCTCAAGTGTAGCACTTACTCGTGGATTATCTTTGGCTAGGGATGCCATGAATGCAATGAGCTGAATAGTCTTTCCGAGACCCATCTCATCCGCGAGAATGACGTTCTTCTTTTGATGGAAATTGTACAGCAGCCAGTTGAGACCCTCCATCTGATAAGGCATCATCTGACCACCTGTCAGAGCCGATGGTTGCTTCTTCAATTCAACCTTCTTCTCGAAGTTCAGAGAGCGGAATTTCTCTTGGCGTTCCTTCATGTCAGCTACGGGTGGCTGCTTCAAATATCTCCCAGCCACATATTCGTTGTAAGCCGAAACGAAGTCGCTCCAACGAGCCTCATCAGAAGGCTTGGGTGGCTCCTCCCAGACAGCTTCATCGTAGCCCAGGCCTTGGAACTTGACCAGAACCTCTTGAACCATATTGATTGAAGCTTTGTCGTCTGCTTCCGACTCTTGCTCGAATTCATCGTCATAACGGACGTCAAAGACAATTTCCATGCGAAGGTATTCCTCGGGGACCGCCTCCTCATTAGTCCACTTTGGAAGCTCGTTGACACCCTCATCACGATTGATAAAAGCCTTGCGCATGGCAGCAGCTGTAACACCCCAAACCCAGGCACCAGGCATCCAAGTAGATTTGAAGTAGGAAAGCTCGGTCCATTTCACAAGATACTCCTTATCATCTTCATCGAAATCGAAGATAGTCTGGCCTTCTTTGTACGATTCACGATTGGCAGGTCTCCAGGCAACGAGCGTTTGAACCTTGGCAGGGACCAGGTAACAATCCCTGCACTGCCATCTCGGTGTGTACTCCTTTAAACGCTTCTCCCGAAGCTCACTAGTACCCAATTCTTCCTCGATGTCCTTTGAAATATTGAGACCTGGAAGGTGGTCGAAGTGGTAAGCCCGGTAGCAGGAGATACATCTGAACAAAACGTTCTCGGCATTGTTGACCAATGTCTCAGGCACCTTAGTAATAGGATCGTCTCCGTCGTTTTCCTGTCTCAACTTTTCTTCCTGCTTGGTGGTCTTCTTTGGAGCGAACGCCTTGCAAGCGGGGCCAGGCTTCTTGCACTCTTGACAGGTGTCCAAGTGTGGTGCCGAGGGATCCTTCTTTGCAGCAAGACCAATGCACCGGCGACATTGCAAGACAAAGTTCTCGTGGCCAACCTTAGTCACTGCGTGATCTCTGGTACTGCGGTATCCGAGGCAGACCTTGTGAATCGATGTTGAGCAACCTTGGCAGTGGATCAGAGGACTCGTGCCCTTGTTAGAATCCGGTCCAACCCCTGAACAGACATCGCAAGACTTGTTATGGAACAAGGCAAAGCGGTCATTCTTCGGGACGGGTTGATAAATCTCTCGAATGCTGAGGACCTTAGGCGTGTTTTTCGTAGGGCCGTCGTCAGCGTACATCTCTTCGTCCATATCTCGCTCTTTCATGTTCTTCACAACACGATCACGTCCTGAGCGGCGACTCGGCTCTGCGCGCTCTGGCGAGGCGGTTGAGCTAGCATACTTACGAGGTCTACCTCTTCCACGCGTGGTTTGGGATTTGCCTTGACGTATGCTGCGCTTCGGATGATTTGACCGCCGGTAGACAATATCAGAGCCATCATCGCTTCCGAACTGCATAGGGCCCGCCAGTTCATCAGCGTCATCGTCAGATCGAGCAGCTCGGTTGAGTTTCCTCTTGATGTGCGTTTTATTAATGCGCCCCGAAGAGCGTCTCGCGGGTCTTAGACTATCGGACTCCGATTCAGAGCTTTCCTCATCGTGGATTGTTTGAGCAGGGCGGCTGCTGATTCTACTGCTGACTCTACTGCCGACTCGGCTGCTCTGGCGAGTACTGTTGCTTGTCAATAGAGAAACACGTCCCTTCTCAAGGCGGCGCTTCTTGGTGATTGCTTGTTTGTCGGTTTGCTCATCGGAATCGGTATCAATTGAAAGATGTGAGCTGTCCACGATACGCACGTTGGGAGGTCTCCCGCGTAAGCGCTTACCAGCCTGACCAGACATGTTGCGCTCTGCGCTTAGTGGGTCGTTAGAGTCGTTCGAATCGTCAGGGCCGTCATTGAAGAAGTTGAGTGCGTTCTGGCCGTTGCGAAGTTGCAGGAGCTTTTCTAAGGAGACCTGAATGGTGTATGTCAGTCCTGTGAGATCGCTCCGATTAATTTGAGATGGAAACGACTGATTGTGGTACTGAAGAAGCCACGAAAAAGCATAAGCTCGAAAGATTGGTCGGGGCAGCAGTCAGCGAAATGAGGAAGCGAAAGTCTCGACGAGATTCGAGGAGAATAGTATGCACTGAGAGCTAAGAGGTCAAGTTCACCGGTGATAGGGTCGGAGATCGAAAGATCGAACAAGGTTTGGGGGTTGAAAAGGAAAGGTTCAAAAGTGAAGGCAACATAGCAGCACAAAAAGAGGGGGGAGGAAAGAACGCTAATAAGCAATCGACCATTTACGATTCTTGACAAACTAAAACAATATGAGCCGGTGAATAGCTCTTGCACAGTGGCAATGGGGCACAATTGTGAGCCACCTAAATAACAACTTCCATTGCAGAGCATGTCCATGGTGGAACCTATATCTAGCCCACTTGAACACAAATATCCCTGCATTTGCGCATCTTGAAGGTCCGTAACTATCCACTCGCAGATTTTCGAGGGAAAAACATGGCAAGGTGAGCAGCTGAGCCCGAAGTGGGAGCAGACGCTGGTCTTCGAGGCCCGAAGTCGGCCACGCGGCCTACTCTCGCTCATAGCCCGAAAGAGCGCGGGTCGTTGCTGGGGCGGGGCAAACTCGATGACTATGCAGAAAACAAGAGAGCGGTACTCACAGTATCTTCGGTGTCGTTTTCATACTCAATTCTGTACCATGTGGTACCTGCGGGTCCTGGGGTCTCCTTCAAGACCTTTTCTACCGTTGTAGCGCCTTGCAATGGCTGGTATTCCCAGGGACGAGCAGGCGCGGACACCAAGACAGATAGTCCGCGAGTCTCTTTGTGCGAGTCTCGAAATCGGTGGGACAAGGTAGAATGGGGCGGCGTGTTCTCGATGTCTTCTCCGACGTCTTCTTGCGGTCCCGGTCCCGGATCCAGATGTCGTTCTGGCGTGTGCGGCCTCTCGTCCCCATGCCCCTCTTGCTCTGGCTCTTTTGATGTATGCGCCTTAGTCTCTGGCTGTAGAACACCATCCGCTGTATCATGGGCGGTGTCCTCAGAGCCGGATGTGAGGTCGTGGGAAGAAGCCATCTTGGTCTTGAAGGCGTTCCTGGTCCGGAAGTGACTGCCCAGTTTATCAGCTAGCCATCCTGTTACTTTGCGTTGCAGGAACATATCTGTCTCGACCTACTTGTGTTCTACTTGTCTGGGGCAATAGTAGACAGTACAGAAGCGGTCCTCGGACACAGTGGAAGAAGGTACGCGGGCGTGGGCATGGGCGTGGGTGTGGGCGTGGGCGTGGGATGCTGCAAGTCCCGCCGGTTGATGAAAATGTATTTACTTATTGGTAGGTACAGCACTGCACTGCACCGCACTTGGTTCTGCGGGCGCAATACGTAGAGAGGATTCTGCGTGAGATGCAGCGTGTTCTGGTCGTCGGCGTTGAAGTCGCGGTCGCGGTCAGTCGGGATGAACGGACGGGTGCCAATGCTTAGGGTACGCGTTCCCACGCGTGGTATGGCTTATCCGCAGGCACTTAACAGCTCTGACCTCCGAAGAGAGATATATCTCACTTGAGCATTGAGCATTGAATCAGGCACTCTAAAATAGGGGGGGGAATTTAGTATCTGTTTCCAACATGTTTCCCACCAAATGATAATGTATATCTAGTGCAGATGCTCCTTGACTAAGTAGTCCGTCCGTCCCAGCTATGCCCTACGTCCTAGTCCTACGCCCTACGCCCTACTTACTTCTACCGTACTTGGATCTTACATGCGGAATTCAGTCCGCAGGTAGCGCAGGGAGTAGTAGGTACGTACAGTAGTACTACTACTTACGGAGGTTCTAGCGCCTACCGCGGGCGGTCCCGAGAATCCCTGCAGGTCGCGATTCCAAATTCTTTTGGGGTCGCGAGATCCAGATTTTAAGCCCGCCCGGGCAAACCAACTTCCCTCTCCCCCCNCCCCTCCCT